TTACTCAATGTTATGGTTATAAGATCTGGAACCAGAAGTCCATGGTTTACACTTTTTAATTGATTGTAGTTTAGTTCCTAGCCTCTTGAATAAGCTTTTTACCTGGCTAATATTCTTTGTCCTGATGAACACACTGCTGTTCTATCTTCTGTAGACAAAAGCCACCTTATTTGCACTTCTGTGCTTTTTTTCAGTTAAACAACACATACTAATTTATAATTGTAATGAGAATTATCAATACTCCCTTATGGGGTCACTGTTGATAAATAAAATATCTCAAGGGCTTTATAAAATTCAGGCCTACTTTGCAACAGGCCACTTAACACTATTCAGCTGTGTACCAAATGACTGTTTAGAAACAGGACAAGGGTTAGCCAGGACATGGTTAGTTATGAAAACTCTTTATTCCACTTCAGGATTACTTCTTAACTCGATGATTCATTTATCGGTTCCTTGTTTAATTGTTTTGTGTGTGGGGAGAGACGATGTCTCTGTGTCAGTGTTGACTCCTGAGATTGCCTAGACAAGTCCCTACAGTTTTCTTGGCAAGATTACAGAAATAGTTTGCTATTGCCTCCTTCCTAGGACTTGGACGAAGTGTCTGGCCCAAGGTCCCCAAGATGGCTTCATTCCTAAGGTGGGACTAGAACTCATATTCTCCCAGTTTCTAGCCTGGTAACTTCACTACTACACCAAACTGGCTCTGGTTTAAACTAGAGCAGGGGTGTCAAACTTGCAACGTCACGTGACGTGTTGCGACGTATCGCAAATTTTTTTTCCATTGCTGGCAATGGGGTGGGCACAGTTTCATCATGACACATCCGGCCTGTGTCTAGAGCATGTCAGAAAATTAGTCAAATAGGTTTCTCTCCAGATCACTTATTTTTTAAATGGGGCATATTTCAGCTTTTTTTTTTTTTTTAACATAGGCAAAGACTTTGGGATATAAGCTCAAAGGACTTGATTAGTAAAACTAACTATTCTCCACTTCATTTAGGCATCTATCAAAATAATTCATGTATGGCCTCATACTTAACCAATCTACATCATAATACTTATCAGATCACTTTTGCAAAAGTACAATTAAAAGCCTTTCTAGCTCAAGTTCTATTAGGAAGATTCCAGATTATACCTTTTGCACAAAAATTCAGACCTCGAAATTACTCAGAATAGTGTCTATGGAGCACATATGTTTGGTTTGTGGACTGCATCATGATCTGAAAGACACCATTATTTTCCTTTTATTGATTTTTCAATGAGTCAATTTAAACCATGTGTAAGTAAATTTTCTTTTATATAATAATGTGACTCTGAGGGTAGCCAATTTTTTCCCTGCCATAATTAGACATAGGAAGAAATTATTTGCTGAATGACTTGTTTTTCTTATGTAAAAAATGTATGTTTTCTTTGTTATTTTGTTTGCTCTTGGTTCCTTTGACTATAATAAACTTACATTCATTACTGCTTTGATATATTGCCATACCTTTACTGTAGTAAAGTTTGACATTCCGCCTTCCATAATGCTCTTTGATACATTTCATAACAGAACATGAGTTATTTAATGCTTTGTTGCTAATTTTATAGGATTGGAAAATCCTGCCAATTTACCCTATTCTTAAGAGAATTTCAAGCAAGGAACTTGATTACAATCTATGTTATCTATTAATATTAAACATCCCAATCTATAGAGTTACTAAATATTGTACTTTTGTATTACCACTCACTGCACTGCAAAATATTATCACAGTTTTATTATAATCTATCATAGTGCACTCCTACTTTATCTTAGTTGTAAGCTGGTTTATCATTTATTATTTCAGTTTATATGACACTTCATATAAAACACTTCAGTCCACAGACTCAGCAATTAATCTTTCATTAGAGTAATTAGGTTTCAAAAATGCAAAGACAAAGATAGTTAACCCAAAGATAGTTAACAATAATAAAATTATTTTGTCTTACATTATATTTAAGTATATTATAGTACAGGAGTCTACTTTTTGAATTCTAATTCTGTCATCCTTCCGCCTATATCCAGCTATATCAGAGCAATACAAACTGTATGCATGTTTTCTGTTGATAAACAGCTTTTGATTGGAGTCCTCAGTCAGCATAATTAATAACATCTTGACTAGAAGTTAATAATAATAATAGTAAAGTTGGAAGGGACTTTGAAGGTCATCCAGTCCAACCACCTTCTCAAGCAGGAAACCTATATCATTTTAGACAAATGGCTATCCAGTCTCTTCTTAAAAACTTCCAGTGTTGGAGCATTCACCGCTTCTGGAGGCAGGTTGTTCCACTGGTTAATTGTTCTAACTGTCAGGAAGTTTCTCCTTAGTTCTAGGTTGCTTCTCTCCTTGATTAGTTTTCATCCGTTGTTTCTTGTCCTGCCTTCAGGTGTCTTGGAGAATAACTTGACTCCCTCTTCTTTGTGGCAGCCCCTGAGATATTAGAACACTGCTATCATGTCCCCCCTCGTCCTTCTCTTCATTAAACTAGACATACCCAATTCCAGTAACCATTCCTTATATGTTTTAGCCTCCAATCCCCTAATCATCTTTGTTGCTCTTCTCTGTACGCTTTCTAGAATCTCAACATCTTTTTTACATTGTGGTGACCAAAACTGGATGCAGTATTCCAAGTGTGGCCTTACCAAGGCATTGTAAAGTGGTATTAATACTTCATGTGATCTTGATTCTATCCCTCTGTTAATGCAGCCTAACACTGTGTTGGCTTTTTATAGTTATAGTTCAACAGGTTGAAAAAGACATGATTAAAGTACAAATCATATCATGATATCTCTAAGTTCTTGAGAAGAACAAAGATTCCACAATGATAAAACTGAAATAATTCCTACATAACAGCATCTTTTTGAGATGTGAAAATTATCTAAACAATTGCCTTCTTTCATAAGAACCAATTAATCAATGAATATCATCAAACTCATATTTCTATTGCTACATCTTTAAGGAGGATGAGTATCAGAGGGGAGCTTGATTTGTTTTAAAAATATCTGGAGAACATTCGTGGTAAAACAAAGTATAAATCCCAATATGTAAACACTTGATCTCTACAAGACTTGCACTTATTAAAATTAATGAATGTAAGTCAGATATTAATGGTTCATTGATGCAGAATATGTATTGAATGCAAAAAGTCCCTAATTCAATCTCAAGTAGCGATTAATGAGACAAACCTCTGCTTGAAACCTAAGTTATTCCTACCAAGTCAGAAGAGATCATGCTGAGCTAAACAAATGAATTATCTGACCTCCTGTAAGGCAACTTTTTATATTTCATAGCATTGAAGCTATTTTGTAGTGCTTAGCTTATTATTCTTGTGTTAAGCTTTTAATATATATAATGATTTTATTTATAGAGAGCATAGAATTGACAGGGGTTTCAAACCCCTGATGCATGCCAAGAATATTTGGTGGAAAATGTTTTTACAGGATTAAGTAAAAGTTACCAAGCAGCTTGGTGCTTTAGGAAGAACACTGAGGATAATGAATTACTGAATTTTGCTCCAACCTAATTTAGGCTGCTTTGAATCACGAAGAATGAGTGGAATAAGTATGGATTCCAAGTCTCTTGATTGAGACATGTTGAGTTCTTCTCCCATTCAGCATGGCTTATCATAATACAGACAATGGAAGGCAGTTTTCTTCAGTTCTACCTAAATTAAAGACCAGCATTGTCAAGAGGTGTATAAAACCTATAAAGGTAGCTTTTCAAAAAAAGAGCACACCCAAAGCCAACAATTTCAGACTATCCTTTAATTATTATGAAAAATCCCTGGTGCTACATGTATTTATACATCCTAAGCGATAATTCCTTTTGCTAATTCCAATAAAGCTACAGAAAACATAACCAGAACATGGACCTACTGTTGACTCATCCATGTGTACTTGAAAATTCAGTTTCACAGCAAACAAACTAAAGACATTCTAGTCAAAAATATAAGCAGGCCATTACCTGTAGGCAACATTAAAAATACGAAATACTTATAGAAGGTTTGATTGTGACTTCTAGAGAAGCTAAGAACAGAAGGACTCAAAGTAAAAAAATAAATTTAACTTTGGAAACCATGTTAAATCAGAAATAGCTGCATAATAAGATTTCTTCTTATTCTTTTAAAATTAGGTAGAGATTATATATTTAAACTCTCAGCTTTTGGAAGTGTATCTTGAAAAAAAAATGCTTAGGAATATATGGGCCTTGTGAGCTACATACACCATAATTCAACTAATTCCTCACAAGACTGTTTGCTGAGTCTGCTACTTTATTCTGTGTTTTAGTTCTACTTCCTGTCTTGATTAGTTACCATGGGAAATGCAAGAAGTCACAACAGAAGGAATTTACAAAAGATGCAACAACATATTCAGTGCACAGGATTCCCAAGATTTAATCAAATATAAAACAAAAGATAGAAAGATGCAGTAATAGTGTGTTTTGTGGAACCATAACTAGTTTTCTAGAAAACTGTTTAAAAATTCTGCCATTGTTTCTTCTAAGGGAAGAAGGAAGAATTCGGTATATTCTTAAAAATAAGCCTCTTCATGCTAACCTAAAGATATTTTGCAAGGCTACTTATTTTGGCTTTCTTTTTGAGTTTTTAACAGGTTCAAATATTGTAGGATTGCCTTTTCAATTGCTGCACACTGTTTGAAAACAACAGTGATTACAAAGGCAACTGCATTGCAGTGGTGGAAAAAAGAATTAGAGGATACAGAGTTTGTAAAATGTTCTGGGATTTGGGAAGAGAAAACTGCTGTTTACATAGAGAAGAGTATTAAAAACTGCCATTTCTTTTTGGCTTAAAATTCCACTTTCTAAATACTTAAAAAATGTTAAAGACTTCAAAAGCATTCTTGGCCTAAAATAATACAGCAAAACCAAAAAAAAAAAAAAAAAAGATTAGTAAGAACTTAAAGCAGCTGAAACAAAAAGGGAGAAATAGGTTCTTATTCATAAATAAAAAATATAAAAATAAAATACCTGTAACCAGGGTCCATGTGCTGCATATGGATGCTCCTCTGTAGCAAAGGCCCCTTCAACTCCTGTAGATACAAAAGTGATTGCTGTATCTCCTGTAATACTTTTGTATGTAAAGTGCCGACCATGTAATAATCTGCCTCTGAAATAATAAACAAAAAAATGACTTTCAAATCAATATGGTCTTCCCCTTGTGGCATTCTGTCACGTCACGTACTCCTCAATACATATAATATTTTAGGCCCATAATTTTAGAGTTCAAGAAAAAAAATGAAATAGAGATGAAGGAAAGAAAACAACTATAACTACAGTAATTACAAATCTAGTGGAATGGATAAAAAAAGAAAATTCATCTAAGTTCCAATATACACAAACTGCAAACTCAATGACTTGTATCACAGAACAAGCCGCTTTCACAGTACAATGATCAATGAAATGAAAGAGATGCAGTTAAATGAAAACAATTCTATATCTCACCTATATTTCTCTCTTCCAGACACATTCCATCTAAATGTAATGTTTGTTTTTTTCATAAACAAAAAGGGTATTTGAATAGCTAATTAAGATAATATATGTGTGCTGGAAGATTTCCTAAGGTTACCAGGAAAACTCTCTATTTTAGAATTCAAGTAAAAAGATATAATAATCTAATTATATAGCAAAATACAAGATTGTGGTAAGATTATATAGCATATTATAATATGCTAGAATTGTTAACAATCAGTTCAGACACTTGAGACTTGACATATTAAGAGTTAACCAAAGCCTTGAAATGCAGATAGTCCTCAGGTTACGATGGCAATTAGGACCAGACTGCTGTCACTAAGCAATGTGGTATAAAGCATGATGAAGTTAACGTCAATTACCAATGACAATCCAGACAGCCCAGCTTGCTCTCTTAACCACAAAATACACATTAGGAGGCCCTGTGCAGGCCACACACAAGTTGGAGTGAGGGGGGCTAAGATGCAAGTGCAGGGAGGCCACAGGAAAGAGGGTGTGGGTTGCGCAAAACAAAGCGTCTTGTCCTTTCAAAGACTTTATACAGCCATTTCAAGGTCTTCCCCTGTTGTTTGAATATGTGTGCTTTCAGGGAAGATATCTGCACTGGAATTACTATTTTAGTAAAGCAATGTCTCTTGAAGGATCATGCCAAATCTCTGAGATATAGCACTTTCACATTTTGAACAAAGGCACATTGCTCATTTCATGCAGTACCCTCTGAATGGCACTCCTCAACCCCAATGGGCATATAATATTACATGCTTAAATGCTTTGTAAACATATTCAGTTTAGCCTTTTAAGTCTGTTTGAAAAGACCTCAGTAATGTAGGGACAACAGAATGATCCTTACAGCCCCTCATACGAAAACTAACCTTCTACTCACCTTAAACAAAGTGGAATTAATGCTCCTGATTCCTGGTTGAATTTTAGGTGCACGCTCTCAAGCTGTCTTGTGCGAATTAGTTCATGAGGAATAATTGCTGCTGAGCTGTCACTTTCTAAACTGTCCTTACGACTCCTAAATCAAAGAAGGTATTGGATTTTATCCCATCTTTTAAATATATTTTGGGTCAACTCAAGGTGGAGAATAACCTAATATTCCTGCCCCCTATTTTCACCACCATAACCACCACCACCATCCTATGAGGTATAATGAGTAGAGAGAGAGAGTGACTCGCCCAAAGTCACTCAACCTTCACGTCTAAGGGAGGCCTAGAACTCTCAGTCTCCTGCTTTTTAGTCCAGAGCCTTAACCACTATACCAAACTGGCACTGTAAATCCTTAAGCGGAGAATTACTGGAGCAATATTTAGGTTGTAAGACTTAACATATTTTACAAAATATATATGAGGCCTTTATATCAGCTCTGTGTGTAGAGTCCCCTTTGCTGAGATTTCGCCAACTTGTTTTATTTTGTATATAATAATTTTATTATTATTAATTATCTATGACTTCAGTTCTGCCATGGGTGGATTTGATCTTTGCACTACCTGGCTGGTGAATGCAGCGAGAATATTGAGAGCTGGATCTGGGGTGTACTTAATACTTCACAGGAAAGATGCACTTTTGACATACCTGAAACTTGTGCTAAGTAAATTTTTAAAAAACCCACAGTCCAATCCATTCCAACCAACGGAAGTAACAATTTATTTATGTCAGACTTAATTGAGATTTCTACATATAGTATTAGTAAAAAAGAGTCTCAACTGAATTTTCTTAATGGTTAATGTTATCCTATATGGTTAAGTGGTTATGGTTTTCTGACCATGGTAAATTATCTTGCTCAGAATCAACAAATTCAACACTCAGAACAAACGTTGCCTGGAAGTAAGGTTATGAACAAAAGCCTGGGATATCCAAATCTACAGAATATCTTTAGCACTGTGAATACACCAAGTACAGTATAAAAATTGTTTGTAATTTCAGGAGCCGGTATTAAATCATTATGTTTTGTCACATATTTTATCAAGATATATAGTTATATTTATATCCCAATATTCTGGATTTCTGCCAAACAAATTATTGGCTTCAGTGGAGATGTTTATATTAATAATTCTTTGGAACAAACTATAAACTAATTCTAACTTTAAAAATAAATGAATCTATTATTAGACCTTTGTTTCCAATTCAGCATTTTGTTTGCATTTTACTCTGAAAGTTATCCTGCCTAATTTCTTCACTTGACCACATTCTATTGAATTTTACCTCTGACCAGATAATGGTCCTGGGACAAGCTTTCCTAAAACTGATCTTTCATTAAAACCTGTTAGATCCAGCGGCTGACATCAGGAGATTTCTGTTTATAGAGGTTTTTCCATTTTCTTTGTATCTGAAATGAAGGCCTTCTCTTTGCCTTGCCAGTTCTTAAGAAAGAAGGGTATTGGCAGGGCCACCCACATATAAGATTTTCAATAACCAACACTAAGCTGAATAAAGAATCAAGTATTCTTTCTTTCAGCTTGAATGAAAACCATGCATGGTCCCGGGGAAGAAGACAACCTAGTTGAGGGGGTGATGGAATTTCTAACACTTTAGGGAAAATCAGGGGGAGCCTAAGAACTTATTACTGCAGCTTTTTTTCTCTGCAAATGTACCTTTGAAAGCAGGAGCTTAATACAGGTTTTATATCGGGTGTTTTCAGTTTTATTTCTACTTATTTTTGTTATGTTCATTTTTAGGATTATCATCTCTTACCCTCATTTATTCTTGCACACATAAAGTACTCTTAATCAGATCTATTTAACACAATTTTTTTCAGGTTTTCATTAACTAATATACTTTAAAAACCACCACATAAAATTCTCCACTCAACCAACACAAATAATTCGTGGATTCTCAGCTTATATCCATAAAGAAATGAATAAAACCTGACAAGAGCCGTGACTTCTGTATTAGGAAAGAGAAGATGCATTTAAATGAGAGCAATATGCCGGAAATGCCCCAGCATGAGACTGCATATCTAACATTTTATGGAACTAGAAGGAATCTGAGATTAAAGCTCATTCTGAATGACTGAAGGATTGTGGGAGGTGTAAGTGTGGGCAGTTGTCAGATTAATTCTTCAGATGATTAAATTCTTTTGTAGTCAATGTTTGAAGTCTCTTCATTTTTAATGAGTGCAATGCAGCAGTTACCAAGGTGACTTTTGCTGACTTTCAACTATTTCTTCCTTCTGTTTTCTGTTCTTACTATCAGACTGAATTGGTTTCTACATCTTATGAATTAAGATGAACACTGTTAGCTGTACTGCTGTATTAAATTTTAGTTCTGGATTTGGGTAGCTGAAGCAAAGCTAATATTCTGCAGGAAAACCACATCTCTACTGTTGCTAAGAAAGCAATAGAAGCCACAGTCGCATAAACAAATTTGCAATCATCTTTGGTCTTCCTGCAATATTAGAGAGAGATGTTATAAACCATGTCATTTGAAGGCAGTCATTATCAATTCTCCAGGGAAAAAAAATCAACAACTGCTTGCTACACAGTTTAACTACCCTACACTTTTTCTGCGGACCAGAATTTCAATCTGAGAGACCAAAGTTTCAATAAAAGTTTATAGTCCAAGTAAAGAAGAAACTAAGATTTGCTATGACATACATTGTTTAAGAGATTAAAGCTTTCTAATAAAATAACAAACTAGGGTAATTATCCTTAAATGCTGACTATTTTTCTGAGCTCTACTATCTGGAGCATTTGATTCAGAGACAGAGAAGTGGACGTGCACAAATACAATATTCCACTGCTACTTGTTACTTAAATTAAAAGTTCTAAAAAGTAAATTAAAGTTACTTAACTCAAGAGTCTTCATGACTTACTGTGCTATATTTTAACAGACAATTAATATAAAAATATCAGAAAACACTGATACCAAAGATCAGCGCTGATTGGGTAATGCTGAAAAAATGATATATTTGCAATGCTGCACTTACATTTAAATACTTCCTTTGTTATATACACTTTAATCTGGACAAAAAGTAATGATATAATAATTTGTTTATTTTTACAACAGAGGACTAATAATAACTAAAGTTAGAGATACAAAGTTACAGAAGAGATATAAAATGCTAAAGTTATATTGTAGCATACCGTCTGTTCTAAATAGCTTTTACTATATAAGGTTTCAGCCAGCTCTTCTTCCAAGGAGAACAATCTATGACTATTAGCCCAGGCATCATGTTCTACACACCACCGGTTCACTCTACATTATTTAACTTCTGAGAGCACCCAGTCCCTACAGGGCTAATATGGCGGTGAGGGGGGAGAGGAGGGAAAAGATTGTCTAGATATTTTCTAGTTCTATCAACCTGAAAGTTCTTCTAAAGGTGAAAATATTTCCTTTTTTTTTTTTTACAAAATTTGGCTGCAATCCTTGGACGCTCATAACATTACAAAAAGCGACACGCAGAACCTAATGTAATGTTAATAAGTCAAACAGCCAACTCAGGGTACAGACAAAAAAACTCTCTTTGTTAACATTGAGTATTTCAGAGTTTACGTGAAAACAACTATCCTTTGTCTACTTGTGAACAATAATATACTATTATTCATATTATATAGAGGGCAAAGGAACATTTGAAACTGAGAAAAAAAACTTAAATTATTTTTTTGTTTACACACACACACACACACACTTTTATACCTAATGTACACAAAAGACCAAGTAACATGACCTAAATGCACTTACTTCTTGTGTATCCCATATTGCTAGTGATGAAGTGATGAGTTCTCTTTCATTGGTGAACTTGAAAAAGAGGCTGGATCATTGGTTAGAGATATTTGTTTATTTATTTATAAAATGTATTGGCTGCCCATTTTACCACATAAAAATCTCTCTCTCTCTCTCCATCCATCCATGCATACATACGTTAAAACCATATTCTAAGAGATCCTGCACTGAGCAGAGATTAAATGACTTCTAAGGTCATTTCTGTTTTATGCTACTTTAATTTAATGATGCTTACCCAGTGGAGTAAATACCAAGCAGAGATTAGCATTCCCAAACCTGAGTATTTTTGCAGAAATTGAAATGTTCTTTATTTAGCCAGGTTTTCCACTGACTCTTTTCAACTGCCCTAATTATAAATAAGTTGTTATTTGTGTTCCTTTGATTATTTAAGCCATTTTTACTGTTTTGTTTCATATTTTGTTATATACTGTATATCCAATACCACTTTGGTAGTTTCTAAATTTAATTTTCTAAATTAAAAGCAGTATAAAATGTTGCAAATCCATTGTTAAATAAAATATATTTGAAGTATAGTACCAACAAACATTATATACAAAAAAATAGCCTTTCCTTCCATTATTATCTTAAGAAAAACTCATTCTTTCTCACTTCAAGATTCATCTATAAGACTAAACTTACGGTGCTCTCTCACTGTTCAATCCATTCTGCCTCTGAGTATTAATTGGGGGCAAAATTGGCTTGCTGTTAATCTCTAGTCCCCTTCGTAGAGTTTCTCGAATTTGCTCTGTGTCTGAAAATTCAAAAATGTAAAAATAAGGTTAAATATAGATGAGGTGATCTTTCAAACAGTAGATTGGAATACTAAAACAAAGACCATATACTTCCTTTTTCATGTGTATATCAAAAACCCTAGTTTCTTGCAGCAAACTGGCAACTATGATTTCTTTTCATTTAATATAAACAACAATCCCAAAACCTAAGCTTTGAGTAATATTTCAAATTATGATTTTGGGAAAACATTAGTCACATTGCACTGAATGAAGCATTACAGTATATAATAGCAATGTTGGTCCTCTGAGTTTACCCCTTTCCCTATGAATGGGAAAATGCTATAGAGTTAACACAAAGTCACAGGCATTGGTATACAAATTTTTCAGTACTAAAACCTATGCTTGTAAAATATTACACCCTTTAACTACAGTATTTCCTAAATAAACAGTTTAGAACGAGAATTGTCTTTCTGCAAATAAAAGATTTCTTCAATTACAGAATGAAATTTCAGGAGACGCTGCAATGAGAGAAAAGGAGAAGAAAATTTCTGTGAATTTGCCCTGCATCAGTAACTCCCATGTTGTTTTCAAGACTTACCTCACTTTTTGACTGACAGTGTGCACTACCCTGAAAATGATCTTACTCCATTTGTTATCAGCTTGTACTTACAGGCTTTATAATGTTTAGTTCTATGACATTCTATCTGCATAGCCACACTGAAATCATGACAATAGAAAAACCCAGAGTTGACTATTTTTATGCCTCCTCCCAGATGTTTGCCCTTCTCTCTGCAAAAAGATTCAAAATGCAATTGGCCGGGAAACAGAGTTTGCCTTCTTCACTTGGGGGGAGGCAACTGCCTGTCAGCAAAAAGCTCCATTTTGGCTGCTAAGGAAAGGGTATATAGGGAATCTCTGCATAAGTACTCAATAAGAGTCAGGGGAAGAGATCATTATAGATGTTCTTCAGGGTAAACTGGGAGATAGTGAGCTTCAAATGGGGAATGGAAACTGACATATATGTTCAGTGAAAAGTAAAATTATGTATATTTCCATAAGATTGTACAGTATATGTGGGGGTGGAGTAGGGGGTGGAGGCTTATCTATGAACATGTGTGCACAACCTTGCATCTGGGTAAAGACTGGTTTTCACAGTACTGACAAAGTTTGTTGAAGACCTAACTTGAAATTTAATATATTCTTGAGCTGGAAACGGTTGCCTAGCTATAATACTGTTTATTTAAAATAACTTTTAAAAATCTGCTTATGCACAAGGTCTGAGTATATTTGGAAAATGCTTGCCTTCTATTTTCACTTTCACTGGGAAATAAATATTTTAACTTTTAGAATTGACGTCAAAAATTTGCTAGGTTTCTTGGTATGGTAGCCATATTACTAAGAGATCCAGGAATCAATCTGTCTGTCTGTCTGTCTGTCTGTCTGTCTGTCTGTCTATCTATCTATCTATCTATCTATCTATCTATCTATCTATCTATCTATCTATCTATCTATCTATTTCCTCACAACCCTGTGAGGTGGATTGGGCTGAGAGAAAATAAACCTTAGACTGGTCTGATCAAAGTTTAACTTACCTTTTCCAGACAATCGTCGAGGATGTGTACCAATGCAGATACTTCTGCTGTCTTCATCGTCCTCTGGTGGCCGGCTAAGGTCATCCCAGGCACATTTTGCACTGACACCGCTTAGATTTGAGCCATCTGTTTCAATCCCTTTATCAACTCGGTCCTGCTTAAAAAGATCCCAAACAAGCAAGCATTTGAGAATATAGTTCTGTCATTACAGGATCTAATATATATATATATTATAAATACTAAATGTCTGAGAAATTAAGAGCTGCAACACTTATTTTCACTGCTCTAAAGACACAAAGGTTAGCCGCAAATCAATGCCGATGAATACAATGGGCTTAAAATGCAGAACATACTGTAGCTCTGCCCAGTGTAATGTCACTTACACTGCTTCATGGGATTTTTTTCCAGCCCTATCTAGAGATACTGAAGTTCAGTAGTTCTGCATGATGAAGCCTATGCTCCATCACCAAGCGATGGCAGTATGTCTGAGTTGCCAGTTATCATTCGATGTCTTGAGTCATAGCATTTAATTCAAAACTACATTTCACGAAAGTGTAGCATTGATTCAAAGGTTTAATGAATTCCAACCATTAATCCTCCCAGCATGCTTCACTTCCAAAATCAATAGCAGAAAGAGATATTCCTGCATCTCATGGAAACTACCGGTTCAAAAAATGAAGAAAACGATTTGTCTTCAATTCTAACATTCACCACCAGATGATGCTGTGAAACTAACTCTTGGCTTCTAAAGTCAGTAGCAGTAACTGCAGCAGTTTGATATGAAAATAGAAAGAAAGAAAAGCGATTCAATTTTCCTTCTCACATGTACAACCTGGTCTGCTTGATAATATCACTGAAGAAACTGTCAGAAACTACATATCCATCAACTATAGGTTATGATGTTTGGTATACTGAAGGAAGACCTCACTCTGAAAAGTTTCACATGCAATATTCCAACACAGTCAATGGTTACAAAGATCAATTTCAGCATGCTAGTCTATTTCCAACCCAGGAGTGAAGGGTTACATATAGTTTTTCAAAGCTTTTGAAATCCTTATAGTTATCATAAATCATATTGATTTCTAGAAAAAAGACAATGAACAGATGCCTTTCCATTTATATCCCCCAACTTCCCCCAAGCACACAAGGTATCAGGGAATCTGCACATGATTGGCCCTTTTGTTGATTCTGTTTTAACTATTTTTACTGCATGCCATCCAGAGTCATTTTGGAGTTGTGCAGTTTTACATATGTCAGAGATGGATGGATGGATGGATGGATGGATGGATGGATGGAAGGAAGGAAGGAAGGACGGAAGGAAATGATGCCTGTGACCCAGTTCAGTAACAACAGGGAAACTAATCTGAACTGAGCCATTTATTGACCATGGTTCCCAAGGATTGGAAGCATGAAGACTCACAAGTCAAAAATTGGTAGCAAAGCAACAAAATAACTGACCATTTTTTCTGAGAACATTCAAATACAAGGAGAGAATTGTTTTGGGTAACAAAAGTAATTGTGTCCATTTGTCATGAAATATCAATAAACTAAATAATTAAAATGCATACTTGCAGATGTGGATCTATTTCGAATATTGTTTCCCCACGTCGCATATCTGTGATTAACCATGGACCTCCTGCTCTATAGATGTACAAAAAAACAACAGTTAACTGCAACTATTCCCAGAATTTTAGGGTGTCTTGTGCATCTTTACTAACTGTATCTCAGACCATAAAATGCCTTCTCAGATTCTCTTTGCAGGCTATCAAATTTGTACAGATGTACATAATTCTTTAGGTATCACAATCCTAAGGGAATATGGTACCTAAAATATTCTCACTCTGAAGATATTTATTTTCCCCATGTTACCTAACCTAACCAATAGAAGAGAATATTTTGTAACTCAGGATTGAAGTTTGGGATCCCTGGTATTCTCTAAATTTGGTGGTTTTCTTGCAGACATTTAATTACCGAACTAGGTAAGCTCATCAGTGCAAGACGGGACTGTGGATTGATCTCATTTTATATATTATAGGCTTGTTCTCTCAGTGTTGGTGAGAATGATCTTGGTGATTCCTTGATTAGGCTGTTCCTTACTCTTAGCTTGTTTATCTGACTTGGTAGTTCCCCGATTGAGGTATTTATTTCTTGATTGTTGGTCTAGTGTTCATCTTGATTTTAATCTTTGCTCATCTGGATGTTGATTGCTGTGTTTTGGTCTTTTTTTTTCTTTTTGGGGTTTTTGATTGCCTCTTTTGAATGATTGTTGTTGTTGTTAACTGCAAAGTCGTGTCCGACCCATCGCGACCCCATGGACAACGTTCCTCCAGGTCTTCCTGTCCTCTACCATCTTCTGGAGTCCATTTAAATTCACACCTACTGCTTCAGTGACTCCATCCAGCCATCTCATTCTCTGTCGTCCCCTTCTTTTATTGCCCTCAATCTTTCCCAGTATTAGGCTCTTCTCCAGTGAATCCTTCCTTCTCATTAGGTGGCCAAAGTACTTGAGTTTCAACTTCAGGATCTGGCCTTCTAAAGAGCAGTCGGGGTTGATCTCTTCTAGGACTGACCGGTTTGAACGCCTTGCAGTCCAAGGGACTCGCAGGAGTCTTCTCCAGCACCATAGTTCCAAGGCCTCAATTCTTTTGCGCTCAGCCTTTCTTATGGTCCAACTTTCACAGCCATACATTACAACTGGGAAAACCATGGCCTGGACTATACGCACTTTTGTTGGCAGGGTGATGTCTCTGCTTTTTAGAATGCTGTCTAGATTTGCCATAGCTTTCCTCCCCAGGAGCAAGCGTCTTTTAATTTCTTGGCTGCAGTCAAGAATGAATGATATATAGATGTTATTTCTCTCTATGTGCCTATTGGTGGCTGATTTGAGTGTCATGCTTCCAGGAATTCTCTAGAATTTTTGGACTTGGTTTGGTCTAGGATGGTCTGTTTTCCAGCTGAAACTATGATTAAGTCTGTCCATGTGTTGTGAAGTAAAGGAGTTTTCATCACATCGTCTGACTGCTAGTTGTTGTTCATGGATGTGCTCTGCTAGTCTTCTGTGTTTGTCCTACACAGTGGCTGTTATAGTCCTTACACTATATGTTGCAGATGGCTCCTGCTTTTTCTTCTGGGCCTGCTAGGTCTTTTAGTTTACTTAGGATGCTTTGGAGGGCTTTAGTTGGCTTGTGTGATATGTTCATGCCATAAACTAACCAAATAAATTGCAATTTCAAGTTGTACTGTGAAATTAGAAGGGGAAAAACCTTCAACTATTTAAGTATACAGTTTTTTTTAATATTATTTCAAGTGTGGCATTAGGAAGTGGCTGAATTGAACTTAATCAGACATTATCTTTTAATTGCTAATTTGACTTCCAAATCAGGTGAAAATGTTCTACTTACACAGGAACAGTCCGAAGCAATTCTAGTATACCCTGCCCATTCCACTGCTGTGCTGCATGAAGCTCTTCTGTACATACTCCAACAATCTAGAGCAATATGTAATATTATGTAATATGTAATAATAATATCTTTTATACATAACAAGAAAATATATTGGAAAAACTAACATGATGCAGCACAAATTTAAATGATAGAAAAAAGGGGAAAAGTCCTGTGCTGTGAGGGACGGGACCTAAAATCTGGGGAAAACTCTAGCGAATGCCTTTTGGCTAAGATCAAGTGTAGCCTTTCAGAACACCCGTGGTCGTTCATTAGCCTTCCCCACCCTAACAGATGGCACAGAAATGCTCTGGAGAAGAAGGGAAAATGTTAGTGAAACATGAGTGTTTTGAGCCTTTCCCTCCCCTCTAGAAAGCTCAGAAAGACTCCAGAGGGAAGAAACATTCTCCCCACCCCCAAGGCTCAGAAAGCTGGCATCTGCTAGCATTTTCATCAGATTTGAGGTCCATCCCATGAACTAAAGTGACTTAAAAGACTACCAAAATTATCATGGGAAATTTAGCCTTAACCAACATTACTTACATAATTTTTAATGGGAAATGGTATATAATGTCTTTTCAATATCTGAAAATATGAAATTACAGATAATTGTTTATCTGGAAAAATAAAATATTACTTCTTATAGACAGTTATAAGAATACTGACTTCTAGAGAATACATACTTGGAGAAATGTTACAATTCCAAATGGTGTCTGAACTGGCTGCATTTGTGGATCTTCAGTAAGGAGCATATGTTGGATTCTAGACTCACTGTTGTCCAATGGACTATGCCATGATACATGGTCACCACTACAGAATGTGTTTTCTGTTGAGAAGAATGAAGGCAATCTTCTTAAAAAACTGGAATAATCAATAAATGGTCAAAACAATCATCAAATCACCATAAAAAGATTACAACAGAAACACTACCCATTTATTTTCTATTGTTCTTACGTATAATAATGAAGATTTTTTTTGTTTTTAAAGTGAAATGGCTAACATCTACAGGTAGTCCTCAACTTACAACCACAATTGAGCCCAAAATTTGTGTTGCTAAGTGAAACATTTCTTAAGTGAATTTTATTCCATTTTATGACCTTTCTTGCCACAGATATTAAGTGAATCACTGCAATTGTTAATAACATGGTTATTAACTGAATCTGGTTTCTCCATTAACTTGCTTGTCAGAAGGTTGCAAAAGCTGATCACATGACCGCAGGAGATTACAACCGTCATAAATATGAATCAGTTGCCAAGCATCTGAATTTTGATCATGTGACCATGGTGATGCTGCCATGGCCATGTGAAAAATGGTCCTAAGTCACTTTTTTCAGTGCTGTTGTAACTTTGAATGGTCACTAAATGAACTGTTGTATATCGAGGACTACCTGTATATACAAATATTGAGATTTCAATCACACTTGCTGTGACTGCCATCTTGATTGTTTGTCACACCCATTTGGCATCACTGATTAGAAGGCAAAGAAAGTTACCACTCTGATATTTTTTTTAACAAGTCTTCTATGAAGTGACTATATTCTTTAAAATTCATTCTACTTAGCAAGCTGGTACAAAAGGACAATTTGTCTCTAACCATCCTACTCATTCCTCTGGATTGGATTCCATGAATTTTTCTACATAAAATGTTGGTCCTACCAACCCATGCAGGAACCCTAACTTCCAATAAACAGGAAAATGTAGTGAAAACTTATTTTTATTTTGCATCTTTATATATCACTCTTCATTAAAAAATGTCAATGTGACTTACAAAGTTATAACAAAAACAATAAGGCACCACGCTAGAAACCAGGACACCAGGAGTTCAAACTCTGCCTTAACCATGAAAGCCATCTGGGTGACCTTGGGCCAATCACTCTCTCTCAGACCAATTACCTCACTAGGTTGTTGTACAAAAAATAGGAGAAGAAAGAAGTATTAGGTACGCTTGCTGCCTTGAGTTATTTATAAAAATAATAAAGGCAGGAATTAATGAATGAATATGACCTTGATAAATAAATTGTTCAGACCCTGGCAAAACATCCTAAAGTAGTGGCCCAAATATTTTGTCAAAAATTTACTTTTACTTTATTTATTTCTACAAACTAGTCAGAATAAAAATGCTTAGTGTATACCAGTAAAGTTAAAATCCATTTATTATAATCATTCATAGTTGGCTGCTGGCTTACAGTACTGTTGTAATGGCGGTATCAAAAGCTCAGATATGCCATTATTTTCTATTAATTTTATCTGTTTGCACAAAAGAATCAATGCAAAGAAGTTTTAATAGCATATGCATTTCTAACAACTGGCCCCCATTACAGGGAATCTTTGGATCCATACAGAATCTGATCCTGGAAAACCTGGCTTAGATGAAACGTGTCCCATTAATCTCATGGCTACAGGAAAACAAAATTCTACTGTTCAACAAATATGAAAGTTAGATCGTTTATTAGAGCTAGGCCTTGGTGGTTGGGAGTAACGTAACTTTTAGTCTCCAGGTCCACTTTAAAAATATCTTGCAGGAAGGTTAGGAAGAACATATTTTCATTGGAAATCCTCACAGCCTTTGAGGGAAACCTGGATTTTTTACTACCATGAAGCTACAGGAATTTGGCCAGAGAATTAGGTGCAGGGAACTAAAGTGTAACCTCAGCAAGATATATTTCACATTTATTTTAAACAGACATGTATGGAAAATCAACTGATACATTCAGATTTCAAAAGCATGTAAAGACCTATAAAGAAAAGGGACATGTAGCTGTTCAAGAATATTCAAAGCCATCTTAAGAGTCCTCAGCATTCCAATTTTCAATGTCTTCCAAGTCATGTACAACACTAGCCAAGACTCTGATTAACTAAATGCTTTAATTATGTAAACCTCAGTCACTATTTTCCATACTGAAAGGAGTTATAAAAGAGACTTATTCCTGAGGCTTGTGTTTTTGTCACAATATTCTCTCAGTTCTGTATTTTACTGCCTAGATTTCTTTCTTCAGGAAATCCTAACCATTTGCAACCGGTTTTTAAATGCTAATATAATATATCTGTTGAAAGTCCATCTATTTTTGTCTATTTGAATAAAGACTACTTAAGAAATGTCTTTCTTTTACAGACGTAACATTTATACCGACTGTCAATTAAACTACAGAAACCAGCTATATGAAAAATTATATGGATTCAATTTAAAAGCCTCAGAGTGAGTAAATCCAATACCAAAGCTTTAAAAAATGCTATCATAAACAACATGCAAGACCTGTCTTTATATCTATAGAGATTTCCCACAATACTTGGATCAAATCATTATCAAGACAGATTACTGCTATGCAATTTGAAGTTTTGTGAAAAAACATTAAACAAACATTTTACCACTGAAACGACGACTAATTCCTTTAATTTTCAGTGGATTGTATCATCTTCCAATGTTATCATTCAACCCAAATCGTATCAAAATTCTAAATATCCTAAATGAATGGAAAGCCAGTAAGAAGACGCAGATAACAATTATTTTAAAAACCATAACCTGTTATATGAAAAATATGGATGGATGCTGTGATTTTTTACTTTAAATCAATTAATGAATAAGAATTAAGACTCTTTATCATTTTTCTGTTGCCACCCACTGGCAGTATAACAATTATGACACCTATTAATACCTAGATTTGGACCACCAGCATTTTTAATTTCTGAAATACTTCAATAAATTGAGATTTACTGAAATTCAATGAATATCACTAAATGTTGAGACAAAAAAACCCCACAAAAAATATTTATAAATACTTATCTTTAATAAATCTATTTGCTATGCAAATTTTAAAACTAGAATAGAATAAGGAATTGAAGATCCCAATTCGTTAAAATATTTGGAAACGGATAGATGAGGGAAAAATTAAAATCAGACAATAAGGAGGAGCCATTGCAAAAATAAAACTGGAATTGATAGTGACAATTGAAATTAGAAAGTAAGCCTGTTTTTGATGACGCTGATGAAGGTTTATAATCTTAGAGTATACGGTAACTTGATTCTCAGCTGTCACTGGATTCACACATCATAGCTGAGGTGAGGTGTGCTATAATTACAGTGGTGCCAAAAGTAATTTGCAAACTGAAAAACTGGATTCTAAATTAGTCACAATATTGTGTGGTGACATAAGCTTTTATTTTGGAAATTTAAAATCCTTATGACTTCCAATAAATGCTTACAAAAACCATTTACATATTAGAAATGTTACCTATTTTAAAATATCTTTGACTGCGTCATATGAGAAAATGCTTACTATAAGTAACAGAACAAAAAATATGACATTCTAGAACAATTTTAAAATGAAATTATAAATACTTTCACGTATCCAACGATCAATTAAATTACTTTATTATTTTGTTTGTAATACTTTTGTTACTCACAATGTTAAAATCAACTATACAATATTTTTATAATAGTAGTTTAAATATTCTTTTATTAAACTCTTACTTTCAACAAAGATGTCACTGATTCAAATAATAATTGGAGCAATCTGAATGTGCTTCCAAAGAACTGCCACTCTCAACACTTAAATGATCAACACTACAATCCACTTGAATGCAAGATTAAAAAGATTCACTCAATAACCACTGAAAGGTAAATCTGAAACATGTACCTCTTGTTCAGAGGTCAAAGCAGTCATTATCCCATGAAATATTACCCAACCTCTACTTGATACACAGGAAGAAAACACTGCTGAGGCTTGAGAGCACTGAATGACAGAAGGCTACAGCCATTGAGACTCAATGTAAAAACAGATAAAGCTTTTGAAGCAAAAGCCAATTTAAACAGCATAAAACATCCAAGGTTTTTTTTTAATATGAAAGCCATAAAAAGTTCAGTAAAAGATAGGAATTGTCTATTAGCTGAGTATAGAGACTACAAAGTAATAGATACCCAAATGGAAATAAAGGAAAAATACAAGATAAAAATATTTATTTGAGTAAAGCAAAGGTGCTATGATAGGATGTTACATAATGAAATGATTTGGACTATTAAATCTTATTTCATTTAGAAAATTTGTTAACGGAGAAGAGATTTCAATTATTAATGTTCTCACCCTGAGCTTGCTTCCCTTTTATCCAATTCAAAATAAGATCACCAAGAGCATTCCCCCCAAGACCATTGACAGGGCAAGTCATTATTATATAAAATGAGAGCAAACCCCACTTCCTACTGATGATGTTACCTAGTTTGGTAATGAAATGTCTGCAGAAAACAACCAAGCTTAGAGAGCACCAAGGACCCGGCAATTGAAGGTATATTTTAACTTTGGAAACATGACAGCAAAATGTGTTGCAAGCAAAAAGGGCTAAATATTTTATAACATTTAAGATAAAAGGAAGTATCAGAAGAAGGTAGAGAAAGATTTAAACTTTTGGCTGTCAAATAATATTGAATGGAATTGCTTAGCAAACAAGGCTTCAGTAAAAGAAAGATGTCTTTCAGGTGAAAAATAACTATTTTCTAAACAATAATTAAGAAGAGGGGTAGGAACTGATTTATTTATTGGTTGTTGGGACTGAAGTTGGTGAAATAGGAATTTCAAACGGTCAAACCAGAGAAAACCAATTTGTAAATAAAAAATAGACAGCAGAGACGTTCCAAGTTGGAAAACAAGTAGCTACAGAACTAATAACTCAAAAGGACAGGACAAAAAAAGCCTGGGATTTAAACTGGTCTGTAAAATAATCTGGATACCATTATTCAACTAAATATTCAAAGTCCTTATTCCTAGATCATGAACAGTTTCCAGAGTCCTTACTAGTGCAAGTCATAGCCTCTAATTTGTTTTATCAAAATAAAAATATGAGTTTTATCTTTATGCAAAATTCAAACTAATGAAATATATATGAAATAGGAGTTAGACTCAGAACTAATTATTGCAAAAAACATTATTTAGTGTTTAAAGTAAATATTTAAATTATACCTGATTGAAAGACATATCTGGCTAAGCCTTGCATTAACTCTGCTGGCCAGGTGGGTGGTGCAGATTCCCCAGTTTCACGCTTAAGGCGAAATGTCAGCTCGAATCCAAAACCACTTGGTCCATCTGGTCCAGTAAACCTGAAGGAAATTAACCACAAAAAGTTTCATAACAAAGGTTCAGGAATATAAGCTTAAAAAATCCACTGTTCATTTATTCTACTTGTTCTATTAGCATACCTCTGTATCAATACAAATTCACAATAGTGAAAGTTAGAAAGATGCAAAACTAATTTATAATGGCAGCAAAAATAAAACAAAGCTTAATTAAATAGTATCTGTCAGTCTAGAATGGCTCCCAAGTTCCAATAGTATCACATCAAGAAATTGCAATTATAAAAGTGGGTGAGTTTAGAGGAATTTATGCAGAAAGTTTACTAATGTAACTTGGATAATTCATTAGTTTCCATGCTGCTAGAAAATAGATATTCATCCCATCAGAACAGTCTTAGATAGTTTCCCAAACTTTCAATAGCTACTGCAGCAGACAAAATTGCAATGACTAGTAAATGTCTTCAGCAAGATGCCTTTTTCTACAAAGATACCAAGTTCATTTTAGAAGTTATACAATTAGTGTTTTGATCTGTAAAGGATGCATGTATGGTAGCTGTAACCATTTACTCCAGATGAAGATCAAATTAGCAAACAGATTTTTTGATTCTCTGGATTTAGAAGGAAGGAAGGGCTATGAATTTGTAGCCCTTCTGGGTCTTCTACAAGGAAAACAAGAGACAACTCTTATGAAATTCTAAACTACAGTAGTTAATCTTTATACTGTACAATGACTGCAAATGCCACCCTTGTCCCTCTAGCTTAAATTCAAGTTTTCCAAGTCACACATTTCTGAAAATTAGACAAATTCATGGAATCTGCCACTATAGCCAAAAGGAATTTTGAGAATAGGAGTAGAGACCGTTCTTTTTCTAAAGAATTGCACTGCCCTAGGAAAGGATCATTAAAGGTTGAATTGCAGTGTTCATGTCTGTTATGCGGAAGTATAGATACAGTAGCCTGTTTTGACTTAAATACAAATTTAGGTTAAAGACAGACTAGGGGAACCAACCTTATTCTTAACTCAGGGACTGCTTGCAGAAAGCACAACTGACCTTAAGAATGCCAAAGTGGCTGTGTTGGGAGGAGAGGGGGTGATGAGTTTAGTATTAGCAAGCAGAGGTCACACATAGTTGTCAAACTCCCAGATACAATTAAGGGCTTGATAAAAGCAGCACTGGAATTCTTAATTATCAGTCCTCCAGCATTGTTGTGTGATAGCAAAAGATGCAAAGAGGATAGAATTCAAAGTAAGGAAATCAGGAAGAAAGAAAGGGCCAATCTGTAATACTGAAAAAAGATAAATGAGAATCTGTCTATCTTTACTGTTTTAATAATTTTAATAATTAGTTCTTTCCTCTCTCAGTATGTAATATTGAAAAACTGTTTTTACACTAGAAAGGAGATTATTCTCTGAAGAAGCACATGCAGATATGCTGCAGACCGGCTTTGCCCTGAGCTAAATTTAGTCACATTCCTCTTATTAAAAACAATCTTTCTAAGTTCAACTACTGTGCTATAAATATAAAGCAAATATCTCTCCATGCTTTTAGAACAACAAAAAAGAGTTTTTAATAATATTGATATATTTTAGATCTAGGAATTGTGTTTGAATTTAAGTAGTTCATGTCAGCCTCTTTGTAGGTGGGCTGTTTCTCAAATTAGCTACCTCAAACAATTGACTTTTAAAGCCAAGCATATTCCATCAGACTTAAGCAAAACAAAAAATGAAGGTGGTCATGGCTTCCAGGGCGGTCTACCACCAACAAAGAACAGGAAATGTGCTGAAATGCCTTAGTGGGGTGCATAAAAGATTCAGGTTTTGCATGTAAGATATGTGGCCAAAGGTTTAAGATATATATAACTATCCCAAAACAAATGGGTTGAAAATATTTACATTTTATTTTCTTTTTCCTTGAAACAGAATTGGAGCAACCACATATAGAGAAGACCGAATAAAAAGTTGTGGATAATATATCCTGAATTGCAAAACAAAGGGTAAAACAGGCACTGCCAGCTAAAATGATCACTATATTATACTCTATAGTTTCAAGCCAGCTCCTGATATAGTCAACCAAATATTTTATTTTCAACAAGACTAATTATATAATGATATAAGTATGTGTGTATAGTATAGGTAGAATGAATATACATACACACACACACACAGATATATATATATATATATATATATATATATATATATATATATATATATATATATATATATGTTCAAGAAGATAATCAAACACCAGGATAAAATACAAACAAAACTGTTTTAATACACTTAAATTTTGTTGGCTAACTGCCAACGTCATCATAGTAAAATGCTGGTGTTTTGGGAGCTTGCTTATAAAGCTGGCCGTTTTTGCACTCTGCTCATGGAGCGACTTACCAGTCTGTCCACCCCAATTGGCCGTATTGTTTCTAGCTGTCCTGCGTCAGTCCGTGTGTTCTTAAACTCAGGGATCATTTCCTCCCTTATGGTTGCTCTTCTTGTCTGCCTGGTTCGTGTCCGAGTGCCTGTTGCTGTGGATTGGTTCCCTAACGCCTCCTGTCCTGTGGCCACCCCTCCTTTTGGTTGTGCCCTAACTCCCCCCCTTAGTTCTTGCACAGGATGCACTGGGGATTCCTTCCTTTCGGCAGTTGTAGTTCTTTGTCACATGGGCCAGCCATTCTGATCCTGCATGGCCGACGCTTGTTGCCTTCATCGCAAGTTGTTCCTCCCACTCCCTTAATGCCTAATAAGCTGGCATTAGGTCTCTGTGGCAATTGATCGAGTGTCCGTCGGATAGCCAGGCCTCCTTAAGTAGTCGGCCACCCTTGGTGGTATCCTGGGCAATGGTCTCCGCCTCTGCAAGAACGAACGTGTGGTTGCAGCTGGCCATATGTGCCCATACTTGTGAACATTTTTCCTGCCGTCTGATGGCCAGCTCTTGCTCGTGAATCCTGGTCCTGAGCCATTTGGTCATCTCACCAACGTAGTTGCAGTGGCAATTTATTCTATATACCACTGAGGATCTTTCTTTGCTGGGGAGAGGCTCTTTGGGGAGCCAGGGCACGGGGGGGGGAGCCAGGGCACAGCCAAAAGGACGGGTGGCCATAGGACAGGAGACTTTAGAAAATCAACCCACAGCAATACGCCCAATTGGGATGGGCAGACCGGTAAGTCGCTCCATGAGCAGAGCGCAAAAACGGACAGCTTTATAAGCAAGCTCCTAAAACACCAGCATTTTACTATGACGATGTTGGCAGTTAGCCAATGAAAGCTAAGTGTATTAAAACAGTTTTGTTTGTATTTTATCCTGGTGTTCGATTATCTTCTTGAATATAAGTATACCCGGGATTCATATTTTAGCGTAATTAAGGACTATATCTATATCTATATACATACACACACACACACACACACATATATTATATGTATATTTGTTTTCTGAGGTTTTCACGGGTGTTTGTATGTAGGTCTTTGGTTATTCGGGTTTTCTCCCGTGTAAAATTGGAAGTGTCTTGGCGACGTTTCGACGAAGTCCCATTCGTCATCTTCAGGCTGGTGTTTTCAGCTTCATGCTTCGAGGAGCAATACACACACACACACACACACACACACATATATATATGTTCAAGAAGATAATCGAACACCAGGATAAAATACAAACAAAACTGTTTTAATACACTTAGATTTCGTTGGCTAACTGCCAATGTCATCAGAGTATATGTATATATGTATATGTGTATGTATGACAAATTGGTCATAATGTTCTTTTTTCTCAAATACTTTTGAACACATCACTAGGAATTCTTGCACATAACAAAGTTAATAATCCTCAGCTTTAAAACATATTATCACAGATGCATTACAGGTATTCCTCAACTTACAACAGTTTGTTTAATGGCCATTCAAAAGTTACACAGCAAAAAGGTGATTAAAATTTAGCACAACTCACTTAACGACTGCATCATTTTGCAACTGAAGTTCCGGTCCCAATTGTGATCGTAAGTTGAGAACTATCTACGTAACATCAATAACAATCACATGCGCACAGCTACATGTTATAAAGTATAATTCCAGCAAGATAGTTTTGTCTGGGATGCATCACTTGCAACAAAAGCAGAGCCAAATCTGTAGCACCTTACATTAACTGCTTTATGACTATTGGTGTCTGGGAGATACATGACACTTAGTGTAATATGCCATTGTATTGCAACAATGATTTATGGCTTAAGATTACCCATGAAGCAAGTCACTATGTCCATGCCACAAATCACTGTTAAAATAAATTATGACTTAATAAACTGAATCATGCCAAAAGTCATTTTATGTAGTATCATCTACATCAGGGGTTCCCGATGGGGGGGTGCAAGACGATATTGCAGGGGGTGTGAAAACTTGGGTTTTCAAAATTATAGTGTATATGCATAATTCGTTGCTGTTATTTCGAACTTTTGTAAGGGGTGTGAGAATATATCAGAAGCGTTCTAGGGGTGCGGGGTATAGAATAAATTGAGAGCCGTTGATCTACTACATATTAGTATGCAATCCATGAACAGGCAGTAATAATGAAAGAATATAAAATACAGATTATTTATGTGATACATAAATGCAACAATTCTATTTAAACATACATAAGTAAATACTGTCTTGCAGCAATACTTTTTTTTAATTGAACACTTATAAGCAAGAAAACATGCAATAGACAATTACAATTAAATTTCATAATGAATCATAATTTCACACTGAAATTTCCTTCTAAGTTATTTCATAACAGTAACTATAAATTACAGCAATTTTTCATACCCTAAAAACGATACTTTAAGACCCAAATAGAACGATCTCTTTGAATTATACCACACAGAACTATTTTTAAAACCTAGTTTGCACTGTATGCTAGTGCTTCCAAATCTTCTGATTTCATGGATTTTTAAGGAGTATCCTATTTATTATTTTTAAAAATACTGCTTCCTGTACAATTGCATCTCATCTCAAAGCATCTTATAATACAATTATTAAAACAATATATACAAAATAAAATATATTCATTAAAAAGTGTGATGAAAAGAAAAACAAATAAATCAGAAACCATTAATTTAACATTTATGCAGGGAAAGAATGGACAAAGAGGTTTGTCTCTAACAACCGCTGAAAAGATATAGTAACACAAGGATGTGTAAATCAGTTTATGCCCAAACTGTTTTACATGCAGAACAGTTACTTTGAGGTGGTTCATATACAAACCAAGACATGCATGTTTTGGATACTTTATTCACGTATCATTGATACATGTTTTTTTTTTCAGATACAGACTAAAAGAAGGTTGTTCTGCATACCCAGATTCTTGCAGCCCCAAAAAGCTTGTTATGAATTTCATTTTTTAGCCATCTGAAACTATTAAAGAATTCATTTCTGCCAAAATATAGAAGTCAAAATATTTCAGATTTTCTTCTACTAAACTAGAGCCAGTCCAAAAGGGATCAACAGAATTCCTTGGATGCAATTTTTGAGATGGAAACAGGAACACTTTTCATTTCATAAACTCCCCTACAATAGGGAGGGTGGGAATCCATTCCAATAGAAATACCACCCCAGAAAAGGCATGCCCGTGTGTTACTGAAAAATAGCACTCAGCCACTTTTGGCAAACACACCAGGAGCAATCATATGCTAAGCAGGGCTTTGTCCTTATCTGCAATAAAGATGCTAAGCTTAAGCTAGCTACGTTTGACAGTTTTCAACCAAAACAAGGTAAAGTATGAAGTATCAGGAGATCTATGGTCTTCCGCTGTGCTACATTGGAAAGCTCTGTTACAAAGTAAAGCATCTCAGTCAAATGGCCATCTAGCCTCCTCTTGAATACACCCAGTGAAAGAGAGTTCATCATTCTCTAGCTATTTGGAGCCACCATGGAACTGCTCTTTATATTAGGAAGACTTTTCTAACATGTAATTGGAATTTCCCTTGTTGTCATTTAATCCAGTACTCTGTGTCCTACACTCTAGAATGAGACACCACAGATACTGGTCTTCTAAAATCTAAGTGACATCCTTTTAGGTATTTGAAGAGTGGTATCATGATTTCCTTCTGTCAGCCTTTCTCAGGGCTAAACTATCATACTCTACCCAAGGCAGGCCCAAATTTAGTTGATGTTTCCTACAAATTCAGTATGACTAAAATAATTCAGGCCATTACAACAGTTGTCATTCTGTGAGCCAATAAGTCCAATTCCTGAATTGTGCTGCAAAGAAATTATTTTAACACGGTACCTCCACTGGTCCAGAGAATACTACAATTGCTGAAAAACCAAGCTGTACTAGCAGTTTTATCCTCTCCATCTGTTGCATGGCATCATCAATCTAGATAACTATAGCTGATCCTTTCCAAAACCAAGTGTGAACCAGGTTGGAAATAGCTGAAACAATCAGGGATCTGCAGCTTAATTTTTGAGTATTTGGATAGTAATCTATATAATATTGATCCAGACCTGACTTTTTCAGAGACTGGAGGATCACTGTTTTCTTTAAGGGTAGTTGTATCACATTGTATTCACTATTCCTAGAGCCACCCAATCTCTTTAGCTTGCTCAGTTGTCAGGATAGTCAAGGATCAAGATAGTATGCAAATATTAGGGCAACGATGAACTCTGATCTATGTCCTTGAGTCTCAAAAATTAAAAGTGAACCCAGACAATTGTGGTGCAGTAGTAGTCTTAGTAGGTACTGTGTCAAAAACACAGCATGAAGTAAACAATTTTATCCTCAAACGCCTTATAAATCTCTTACAGGATGTGTCTTCTTTTCATCCAAAAGAACGCCAAATTATAAGCATGGATTTATAGTAAATATTTTTGGCTATGAGCTTGCCAAATACCATATAATTTTCTTTCTCACTTGTAAACTCACAAAACTTTCCTGTTCTTGTTCAAAATTTCCCATTTTTTTCAAGTAGAAACAGAAAAAAATGTGAAAACTGTTGATCTTTTGAGATTTTGGAAATTTAAAACTAACCATTTCTTAACTGAATGCACAAAACTAGTCTTTATTTATTTGCATGTAACTAGTCTTTATTTATTTCGAAGCATGTATTTATGCTTTTTCTACTGTATTTCCAACTACTTCAGAAAACAACAAATCATAATATATAGAAATTAAAGACTTACTCATGCACTCTGTTATCACCATATAAGTCACTTAGTCCAAAGCTTACATAATGCCAGTGCTCAGGAACATTTTGAATTGGACTTCCCAAGTTCCTGTACATACTAACATAGTCCAGAGGATCTGGTCCACCTAACCTATTTTAAAAAAGAAAGAAAGAGAAATGAGATTGTTTAATCCAGTTTTGGGAAATAGCTTCAAGTAAATGGGTTTATCTCTACTCCACATTATTACACCATTTCCTTCTGAAAACAGTTAATGCTTCTTTTTGAAGCTAAATCAGAATTTGCCAGATATCATCATAGCTACATAGTTATAGATCAGTGGTTCTCAACCTGTGGGTCAGGACCCCATTTGGGGTCGAACGACCATTTCATGGGGGTCGCCAAACAAGGCTGTCCGCCATTTCCCCCCCTTTTCTTTGGCCACGCCCCTGGTACCCGGTGATGTATAAGTGGTTGGGGGTCACCACAACATGGGGAACTGTATTATGGGGTTGCGGCATTAGAAAGGTTGAGAACCACTGTTATAGATCTTAAAAGTTCTGTATTGCTTGGCTTTCTTTCTTTTCCTGTTTCAACACTGAATAAATTACAGGACTGCAAAGATGTTAGTGTACTGCAAAAGCCAAATAAACATAATTAAAATGAATATTTTCATCTTGAGAGCATCAGAATTGTCCACAAACATTGTTGATATGTCTATTTTTTTCTCCATAATACTATACCATAAGCATCCTACATAAATTCAAAAATATAATGTGCCTTTGTGGAGTATTTATCTAAAAATGATTCAGGCACTGGCTAGATTCACATATTATATCAGCCATGATTTATTTATAGTTTGCTGATAAGACAGAATTAGTTGGTTGCATGCATGATGCTAAGCCTAAGAAAAACAAATCAAAGCACAATTTGAGAATACAATATGAGTGTTGACCTAGTTAATAGTTAAATTCAGTTTAGTTAGATTCAGAATTACATACCATATTTATCTTTCTGCTATTAAGGAAAACCTGTAAAGTATTTATTAGGATCATATCTTATTAATAAAACTAGCAAACAGCAATAACCTTTTAATCATTGCAAACCAATAAGAAAAAAACTGAAGTAGCATATTTTGCTTTTGTGAAACATATCATAGTAATCACCATCTTTATCAGAATTAGTGATATATGCCATTTGTTACCCAAAACTGGTGGATAACATTTCTTTTTCCAAATTAGAAATAAAGTGGATCTTGGTTCATTTCATACATGTATGGCATGAAGTTCCAAGAGATGGATATTTTATATAAAAAAACTGCAAGAACAATTTCTATAGTAGAATTAATATAGCCTAGTTTTCAACAAGATGATGTCAGAAGAGAAATACAATAAACAATGAGATAATCACAGGACAGGCCTGATCAGAGCCTAAGTAGTTTCCATTTTTGTATGGAAAAAAAATTAAGAGCAAAGTTAAAACAAACACTTTACAGAAAGACCTAATAGTTTTTCAGATAGAAAAAAGTAAGAGAAGAGGATAAGATTGAATAAAACCTCTATTTAGACATCTTAAAAATCACAATTGGAATGTATAGAGTTTTAAAAAAGTAAAAGAGAAAGTCTCTTTTGGGACAGACTGGATTTCATAGTTTCCATGGTCCTGCAATTTTATTTATTTATTGGTAAAGTCAAAAGTTATTCATAATCAGATTACCGTGCGTTTCGCTTCTGAATGCAGACTATGTCACCTAGATGGTGCCACCAGGTGAGGCTTGTAGAAGTGAAACATTTTTTATTCAGACCTAAATAAAGTTTTGAAAAGCTTGACCACCAGATGTCAGTCTTAAAAGGGTTTAGGAAGGTGCTCTTCCCAAGCTACAGATATCCCTATCAACAGGAAAGCTAATTTAGTAATTTTACATAAGCACAAAAAAAGCAAAATACCACTTTCAAGAGAAGAACAGGATGATTTTAAATAGGCTTATGCCTGAAAAATAAAAATTTTTACCATAAAAAATTGCTTGCATTATAAAGTTTCCGTATCATTTTGTAGGAATCAAAATCCTTCACTCTTAGTGCCAATTTGCACAAACTAGTCATACCACTGCATTCAATTCTATAATCAATATGAGTATATATTCTTATTTACAAAGAAATATAAGTTACATCATATTATTTTTCTTTATTCCAACTCGGTTTCTTCTTTTTTTCCCTTTCTTCTCTTCTCTTCCTTGTTAGACCAGCTCTATGCAGAGATCAATGCCCACTGTAAACTGCAGAACCGACAAACCTTACATTTGCTCATATTAGGTAATGAATGAAATCTTCTAGAATGAAATGAAGCCATATTTGTATTCTAAGAATATTTTCAGAGTAGACAAATAAAATTTTAATCTTATGCTGTTAATCTGGTAAACCCTGAAAATATTGCTTTTTAAACGGGCTTTTGATTTGAACTGACAATGACGAGGTAAACATTTTAAAGTGAAATGATGCAGGTTCAAAGTGTTTTTCATTTATGGATTGGTTATGTTTTTATTGTTGACTGACTGATACAATGTGTTAATTGACTTGTACAATTAAAAATCTTAAATCTTCTTCAGTAATCAAGACAAGTAAAAGGCAGATTACCAGGTCCTTTCTCTGATATTGTCTTCAACTTATGATGATAATTGAGCCCACAATTTTGGTCTTAAATCATGATGGTTTTTAGGCTGGTCATCATGTCACTGTGCCCAATTTTACAACCTTTTTTTGTGACGTCATTAAACAAATGTGGCAGTCATTAAGCAAGCGCTGTGGGCATATTGTTCTCAATTGGGCATTTTTTAAATCAGAAACTGGAGGTAAATACTAGTTTCTGGAAAAAAAACACTATACATTGCAATCACATGGCTATGGCTTTAAATGTGGGCTGGTTGCTGAGCACCCAAAATACAGTCATGTGACTACAGGAGGAGGAGGATGTCAGAACCTTGAATCCTGGTCTTAAGTCCCTTTTTTGGGGTCCACCATAATTTCAAACAGTCACTAAGCAACCAGTCATAAGTCCAGGGCTACTTGTACTGGCACAGAAGTATTCTTATTTTTTCCATGATCCCAACCATTTCACGACCTTAGTATTAAATAGCAGCAATATTTGAATTCAAAACTGTTACAAGTTGAAGCAAATTCATCTAACTTTCTCAACTTCAGTTTTCTCTACTGTTTATCGATAGCAATATTTCAATCCAGAAATGTCACTACAATTCTCTCTTTCAACCTATTTCTTTCACAACAGTCATGGTATATGCAGAACATTGGCCATGTCTGTGAAGAACAACTAATCTAATTTGACCTAAACCATCAATAGGTGACTTAGGTGACCATCCAGTACTAGATAATTTATGAAATCAGTGACTGCCTGGTTATATTGGGAACTGCCAAGCCAGGCAGCATTCCTACAGCTTGTAGTAGCAGGCAGGCTGCCACTTTCAGAGAACTTTATTGGGAGAGGCAATAACATTTAATTATATTTTTTTTAAAAATGGGACGATATGACTGAGAATGAAACCACTGCTAATGAAAAGAGGAGATGTTCATGTATGGACACAACTGCTGCCTGACTACATCAGCAAAACTAATAATCCAGCCTGAAAACGTAAGACTTCCACAATATCAGAAATTATCCATTTGGGGAAGAGTATTCAATGCTGAAAGATAAGCAAAGTAACATAAACACTGGGCTCTCAGAATACTTTTTTTTCCCCTTAAAGCTATATATTGTGGAGCTAAAGTGTAACATTACATGGACACACTAAGACTCAGACATATTGATTTAAGCCAAAAGGAAAAATATCTTTGCATATGATAAGAAATGGAAGCAGTGTGGAAGACAGTTACACACAAGGAAAAGAATCAGTCCACTCACTGCTAGCAATAATATGCAAAAGCCAACTTTTAAAGATATAATGAATATGAAGGACAGTCTGAAAAAGCATGCATTCATTTATGAAAATTGAAGAACCTTATCAATATTGCCCTTATAAAAAAAATTCTTCAGGCTTCCAATGGTTTGTTATATTTATTCAGAGTAACTATGGCAAAATTTAAGAACAATTCCTTTCAATCTATCTTGCATGCAAGATTCAGTGCAACAAAATTTTAAATCCTTTATAAATTCAAGCTGTTTCTCTGAACATTCCCATATTCTTCATACACAGACAGGAATCAGATCACCAACCCATAAATAATTACAATTTATAAACTGGTAAATCACTCTTCCAAATTCGGAGTCATTTTTAAAATCTGGGTTTCAACCACCCAGGATTTAGATTTGAGTACAGGCCAGGATCCCGTGTCATTTCATTGTTTTGGACTGCAACTCCTAAACCCCTGGCACAACATTCTGGGCATAATGTTCTAATAAGGTATCCTCTGTTCCAATAACTTTTCCTTCTCTCCCCCAAATCAACCATCTCTGATGCAAGTACTACAAGCCGTCACAAACTTAAGTCCTTCTACCACTCTTAGCCACTCCCAGTTTCCGACAGATCCACCTTCACAACAGACACGCGCACACACACATTTATCACCTTTCCAACCTCGGAGAACCACATTCAAGGAGGCAGACCCCTCGCCCTTTGTCGCCCACCGGTCCCTTCGCCCAGGCCCAAACTCGTTCAGGAGCTCCCGAGGCCTCTTCCTAAATGCCATTACCGCTCCCCTACCCACCCGCGGAACAAGCCTTCAGATCGGAACCAGCTCCTACTCTTCTCGTCCCACTCACCAGTATTTGAGAATCGCCGTGACCTGCAGGGGGTTGGGCTGCTCTGGGTACAGTTGCCGGCATTCGCCGTAGATGCCGTGTAGCCCCGGGGGGAAAAGCGAGGGAAACGGTCCCGACCCGGGGCCAGGAGGAACAGGGGCGACGGTCTCCATGAGGGAACCCGTAAAGAACGGAGGGAAGCAATGTGGCTCGTAGCGGGTGGGGGACAATCCAGACCCCCGCAGACAAATCACAGCTCGCTCCAAACTCCTTTCGCGACCCCGGCAGGGCCCAGCAGCAGGAGCAGGGAAAAGCGTCCCCCCACTCACCCCGACTCCAGTCTTGATAGGCCACCGACTTCGCCAATCACACCGTAGTGAAAGACGAGGCTGACATAATCCCACCTTCGCCTCCACCCGGTGTCCCACCCCTTCTTCGCCGGCGCATTTCTGACCTCTGGCGTCGCTTAGTTTGCACTGCTGACGCTTTCTTGCCCGCAGTGGGCAGAGAGAACGATGTCGCGCGGCAAGCCATCATTGATTTGCTAGCTTGCGGTTTATCGCGATGTGTGTATCCCGGGAACTCTGCTTCATTTATCAAATCCTAGTTTAAAAGATCGTAGCGTATGAACCCATCCTAGGGCAAAGAGTTTTATCTTTAACGAATCGTCCACTATTGCATTATAGAAACAGTAGTTATATGGCATATGCTGTGCATCTGCCCGATAGGGCGACTTGGGGAGATTATAGAACGTAAAAGGATAAATAGAAAAGCAATTAAAATTTTAAATCTGTGCACATTAAAAATGTAAAACCATGCAAAAAACAGAACCAGACATGGATAGCACTGGGATGAGGTCTTTTTTCTCCCGTCAACCACCTCCACCTCCACCTATTCAAGTGGTGTGATTCATAAATAATATATGTACATATACATGTAATATTTATAAATGTTTATGTTTGTTTGTGGCTTAGCATGTTATAGTGTAGTGGAAAAACCACGATACTTACATCAGTAGACAAGACCCAAAGGGTTGGAGGAAACAGGTTTTATTTGCGCAAAGGTTCAGAATATTCATATGACAAATTCTGAACCCTGAGTTACTCCCAGGGTGTCATTTTTATACAGCTTGTCACCCACGCTTTTACCCAAGGGATGACTTCTTATCTACCTTTAACATACTAAAAGAGAGAAGTTCATATCTTGAGACCACACACATAGGAAAAGGGAAGTTTATACAATGTGCAGAAAAACCACACTCCCCTACACGTGTAATATCTTACACCATTTGTGACTTTCGGTTGGCACTTCTTGTAAAAATGTTTCTTCATAGAATTGCAGAAGTCATCACACTCAGCCAGTTTATAATATTAGTTAATGCTTTCAAAACATCACCTCTGTTAATTAAAATGTTGTTTATAGTATTTTTCCATCTCCCTTAATGGCATTTTCTATCTGCCACAATAGCAAATAAAAGCACTGCGACTTGCTAACCATTACATTGTTTAAAATGTGGTGAAAATATAATTATGGTTTATTTACTGAAGTATTAATGGACTGGTGTGATATATACAGTATTGGTACTTTAATTCCTACTATCACTGATACAGAATTGTGAGGAGTACAATCCTAACATACCTAGAGGGCAATAAGTTGGGAAATACATTCTAATATTACCAGTACCTTAGGCTGGGTTTATCTTAAAAATTGCTTGCTGTTAGGCAGTCCTAGTGTTACCAATCAACATGTATTGTGCAATTTTCTGTCTGCAACTCTTTAATAGATGTTGTATATATATGTGATTTTTAAAAGGATAGTTCACTTTATGTTCTTATCTCAGAATCAGAATAGAGCTGGAAGGGACCTTGGAGGTCTTCTAGTCTAACCCTCTGCTCAAGCAGGAGCCCTATACAATTTCAGACAGGTGGCTGTCCAGTCTTTTCTTTAAAACCTGCAGTGATGAAGCACCCACAACTTCTGAAGGTAAACTGCTCCACTGGTTGCCTCACTGTTAGGAAGTATCTCAAGCTTCTCTCCTTGATTAGTTTCCATCCATTGTTTCTTGTTTTACCTTCTGGTGCTTTGGAAAATAAATTCCCCCCCTCTTCTTTGTGCCAGCCCCTCAAATACTGGAATACTGCTCACCCCTATCTTTCTTTTCTCTAGATTGTCCATACCCAATTCCTGCCATCATTCTTCATAAGTATTTGTCTCCAGGCCTTTAATCATCTTAGTTGCTCTTCTTTGTACTTTTTCCAAAATCTCAACAAATTTTTGTAATATTGTGACAAAAACTGGATGCAGTATTCCAGGTATGGTCATACTAAGGACTTAGAATGATGTGATTTTGATTCTATGCCTCTGTTTATACAACCAAGGATTGCATTAGCTTTTTTGTCTGCTGCCACACACTACAAGCTCATGTGTAAGTGATTGTTCACTAGGACTCCAAGGTCCCTATCCCAGTTACTATTTTTGAGCCAGATTTCACTTAATCTGTACTTGTATCTTTGGTTTTTCCTGCCTAGGTGTAAAACCTTGGCTTTTCTCCACATTAAATTTCAGGTTGTTGGATAGGGCCCGTTGTTCAAGTTTGTCAAGATCTTTTTGAATCCTGACCTTGTCTTCCGGAGTTTTGGCTATTCCTGCCAGCTTACTGCCATCTGCAAACTTGATGAGTTCCCCTTCTATACCCTCATCTAAGTCATTTAAGAAGATATTGAAAAGTACTGGGCCGAAGACGGAACCTGGTGGTACCCCACTGTGTCCCTTCCCTACACCGAACATTCTGAAGACATGGGGTACAGGTTTGAACTCAATAAGCTTAATACTATATTGAGTTTCCTGAAAATATTTTTCTTTGTAAAAATACGCATAATCTTTTAAAGAAATTAACTGTAAGAAAATGTTATTTTTTTTTAGCATATCTAAATGTAAACTTTTCACCATCTACCTCACTATTATCACTTGAACTTCTAAGTCATTTATGAAAAAGTTAAAGAGCACTGGTACTAATACTAATACAAACTGTCACATTTGTTCACATCACTGCAGATGGCTTATACAATGGACCATATAAAAGTTTCCATACAATAGATTTTCAGCATAATTCTTTCTATGAACTGGAAAAATCATATTCAAAAGATATTAGTAGGTACATCCTCTGAACTTCTGTCTTGAAGACCTTCTAATTTTTTTTCTCACCTTTCCCCATATCAAAAGTGAAAGCAGCACATTCCCCAAAATCTGTGAAGTCTACAAATGTATTACAACAGTGCCTTTACTTGCATAATAAAAGGGAAAAGGCAGGAATCAAAATAAAGAAATAATAGCTGTATATTTGCACTAGAATTTATATTAACAGGACTGGCGCAGCAGTTAGAGTGCAGTACTGCAGGCCACTTTAGCTGACTGTGTTCAGCAGGTCAGCGGTTCAAATCTCACCCGCTCAAGGTTGACTCAGCCTTCATCCTTCCGGGGTAGGTAAAATGAGGACCCAGATTGTTGGGGGCAATGTAAATATATATATATACATTGCTTACTGGTGTACACCGCTTAGAGAGTGCTTGCACTTAAAGCGGTATATAAGTCTCATAAATAAATAAACAAACAAACAAACAAACAAATAAATAAATAAACGTACAGTACATTAGGCCTATCATAACTGGTCTCCAAATCTTTTGTGTAGTCCCTAGATGGCTGTAAAATGGCTAAATTTTCTGCATTGCTTTATGACTAAATATGAGAACCCTAATATATTGTATATAGGATATCTGCATCAACACATACAGCATTCAATATGTGTGTTATAGAGGTTTTTTAAAGTTGTACACAGTATGTCGTATCAAAAATCTTAGATTTCTTCATTGATTAAAAATACCTCTCATTCCTCTCCAGGGCAAAAATAGTTTTGCAAATCGGTACTCCACGTTAACTTACTAGAACAAATAAATAGTATTATTCATTCATTCACCCAATCATGAAAAAAATTCCTGTTTCCTGGCGTAAACTCCAGAGACGGTAATTATTTCCATAGAAACTCGCTTTCCCGGCAAGCTTTGCCTTTGCTCTGAGCATGCGCTCTGCTCCCTGAGCTGTCGCTTGCTTGGCAGGTAACTGAGGTGGGTGTCGCCGGCGGCGCATAGGCGCTCGCCATGGAGTCCTACGATGTGATCGCGAATCAGCCGGTGGTGATTGATAACGTGAGTCCGAGCATGATTGTGTCTGCTCTGAGAGAAGGGGGGGAGGGGGGGCGCTGCGATTGGCACGGAGGGTTTTTTGCTCCTCATAGAAATCAGTGAGCGGATCTGTTAGCCGGTGATTTTCTGCTCTCCCCCCCCCCGCCCCGTCTCCGGGCAGTCTTCTGTCCCTCGCCATTTCCAACCGAAGTTGGGCTCTTTTCTCCTTCTCGATGACCCGTGCCCAAGTTCTCGTTGGTCGATGCCTTTGCCATTCAATGGTAGAACGGCGCAGCCTGAAGAACAACGGAGCAGGTAATTCACGCCCTATTGAGCTCCTCGCTCTCTGATTGGCCCCCTGTCCTCATTCTCGTTGAGCGTCATCGATTCGCGTTTCGCGATGTAGATTTGCTCCTCCTTTTCGGAGTTCATGCGCGATTATTGGCGCGTTGGCTACAGTATTTGTTCTTTTTGACCTTTAAGGTGCTGTTTTGTTCTGACCGGCTGGTCCTGTCAAAGTGTGCGAGAGAATGGCTTAGGTAGCTGGGCCCCGAACATTGCCTAGCTCTCCTCCATTTTCCCCATGTGTATTTTTGCTGCTGCGTATAATTACCCGCACTACTTTTTTTTGTAAAACAGGGCTTGCAGGAGGAGTGCAGTGAGGAAACGTTTCCTAGATCCCGCCCAGCCTCCTTTTCTGTCGTTTTTCAGATTTCTTTGTGACCCAGAAAACGACAATGCTGCATTAAGAATCAGTTCATTAGTTAATATGATTGTTAAATGTTGCATTTTTACCAAGCTTTATGCAAAAGCCTGAGAAATGAAGAGTCAATAAAGGGAAATATTTGTAGCTAGTCTAGACTAGCACTGATGATGTTACCTAGTTTGGGTAATGAAACGTCTGCAAGAAAACAACCAAGCTCAGAGAGCACCAAGGACCCCTCAAATGAAAGATTAGTTCAGTAAATACTAGCAAACAAGTGCTGTGCTTGTGGATCCTCCAAAGTGTTTTTTAAAATATACACTACTGTGATGCATACATCTTTGAACCTTGGAAGATAGGTTTTAGTAATTGGTAATTAATATTCATCATAGTAAATCTGGTGAATCAAACTTCCATGTTATGTTCAAAAATTCTTTCTGGAACTCACTGCCCAACCTATTCAAAATAGTGATTTTTACCTATAAATCTCCACGTGGTTTATAACCAAGTCATAGAAAAAAATGTTCCTTCTAGAAGAACATGTCTGTAG